AGGTCCTTTTAGTGGTTTACTATAATCATGTACCTAAGGTATTCTCAGAAATAAAAAAGCATGAGTTAGTAAATCAAAGATAGAATATTCATCTGAGCCTTGGGTTCTCAGCCATTTCTTGATAATGGACTTCTTGGAACATAATTAGGCTACCAAAGGAAAAAAACGTATGTGAAAACCAGAATGTACCTAACACAGACTTAAAAATTAGCTAATTAGATAATATTTAAGGTGGAGAATGAGGAATGGGACAGCCTGTTTACATCCACATTCTGTTTAGATACAAATGGGTGAAGATTATGCCAAGGCCACCAAGAAATGTAGCTGATTAATGAAGGCAGGAGACAGTGGAAGCTCAGACGTTCTTGGACGGAGTTTCTATTGGGCAGTGACAGAAAAGACTGGAGGCAGTTTGAGGAGCTGAATAGCAAGACAAAGACAAACACAAGACGAAGACAAACAGCTCTAGACGAAGCTGGGATTTCATTCTGTAAGATGAGCTTAAGTTGATGCAGAGCACAAGATCTGTCATGCTGTCGTGGTTTTAAAGCATTAGCTAAAAACTCACTAGAAAACTTACTCATTTTTTGCTGTGAGATATGGATTAGAAGAAGAGCAAAACAGGCTTAACACTTAAAAGGAATAAAGAAAGTTTATTAACAAAATGACAAGAATAAGAAACCAGAATAAAACCTCCAGAAACCTTTTTCCCCACTACTCAACCATTTCCCTTTGTTCACACGACAACATAGAGATAAAAAAAACAAACAACTGGTGGTTAAAACAGTCACAACTTTGCTATAGTTTTTTCATTAGTCTTTGTAGAGAAAAAGAAATTTTCTTCTGTCAATCTATGGAGTTTATCACAAGAAAACCATTTTCTCATGGCTTTCTATTTCTTTGATGCCAGCTGCCTGGAAAACTCTACCATCAGTCCTTTCCTCCCATTTCACACTACTCTGAGGTGTGTTTGTGGGCCATGATTCAAGGGATGTCATTTTAAGGATGAGTTATTCAAAGGCAGAAGTTCTCTTCATCTGTCTCTGTGAGCCTCTCTGGAAACAGAAGTTTTCTCTTTGCCTCTTAAGGGCCACAAATCGTCAACAGCTATCACTTTTCTTTTTCTGTTCCAGCATCTCATAGGATCACAACTACTTCACCACTTGCTTAGATCCACACTTTGAAATACTCCATTCCCCCCAAAATACTCTTTCATGAATTAAAGGAGTTTTTTCAGAACACTATTGTCCATCTCCATAGTTTTAACAAAAGAATTTTTCAGCTTATTAAAGCATCTCCTTATTTCTCTCCCCCCTCTGAAGCTTAATTCCTTTCTTCACTGTCTTTGATAGTTTCTGTTGTCTCTTTACATGTTGATCACTCTCTTTTCCCCTCTCTCTGGGAAAAAAGTATTTATCTGCAAGTCTCATCTGGGTACTGGAAGGGTTAAAATCTTGCCCAGGCCTTGTAGATGGTTCTGTGATCTCTGCTGGAGCAGCGGCTGGAGCTGTCTGCGATGGAAGATTCTTCATGGCTGCTCTGGAGAGTGTGGCCACTGTCTCAGCATGCCGCAAGTCAGTGGCTTTCTCTCTCCTTACTCGGCTGTCTCTGGTGAAACCCAGCAGCAGCAGAAACTGCAGCCCAGCCAGGAACCAGCCTGGCCTGGCAGCCCCACTGTACAAGGCTCAGCGAGCCCTGTGAGGGGTTCAGCCCTTCTGGGAAGGGGCTCCTGTCACTTCACAGCCTCCATCCTCCCTGGGAACCGCAGAACTCCGGCCAGCCCTGCTCCCCCTGCAGCCTTTTCCAGCCTGAGGAGGAGGAGGAAGCTGAACCGAAGCTCTGTTACCTCTTCAAAAGCCAGGAACCAAAGAGAGCAAGAAATTCCTGGGCTTAGGTCTTAAGGTGGTGTCCACAGGTTGATCTCACTTTTTAATGGTCAAAACTACTGTCAGTTCTCAGAAATGACCAGTTATTGGTAAGGAGAAAAAACTCCCAGCAGTCTCCAGCAGCCTTAACTTCCTTAGGTGTTTCTCTTTGTTTCTTAAATGCTAATCCATCACACACACTGATGAGAGCAATTATCTGGAAAAGACTTTGAAAGACGATTTAGAGTGGGGGAATAAGATGATAAATAGCTCTATTTTAGCAACACAGTTTGCTCTATGCTTCCTGTTCAGTTGGCAAGCTATTCAAAATTCCAAAAATGGATGCATTGAAAAGTTAGATCAGTAATTGATTTTCCCTATCTAGAACCAGTATCTATTATAAAGATCAATTTTTTGTATCACAATTGTTGTTTGACACAATTATTGGTTGAAGTGTGTTTTTAAAGATTTTGAATGAGATAAGTTATCATAAAAGTATTAAAATATTATTAAAATAGATTAAAAAATTCTAAAATTTGAGTATTAGTATGAACTATAAACTTTCAGAGGTGAAAATATTATGTTTTTTCCACTCTATTTACTTTTAGAAAAGGCCTTTCATGCAATAATAATGCTTGGTACTATGGAGTATTGTTGATGAAGTTTAGATTTAGAAAAGACAACGCTTTTTTCATTCATAACTCAGAATTGTATTGAGCCAACAACAGCAGTAACAAACTGCAAAAAACCCACAATATATGGATAATCTAAAATAATAATCTAAAATAATCTAATATAATTTAATAATCTAAAATAATTTAAATCATCTATTCTGATTCTATAATTCCATTAGAAAAAAAATAATAAAGATATAAAGTGTGCAACTTTAGAGGCTATTTTCTGAGGAAGTGTCTGTCATATCCTGTTTTCTAATGGTTTTGATTTTGCTCTATTTTAAAATGAAAATAAGTACAGAAAATGTACTCTTTAAAGTTTCCATGCTGCATATGCTCTAGATTGCTGTAGCACTGTACTCTTACTTTAAGCATTGTTGATGCATCTTTTTTTATGACATATTGAAGGCTGAATTTTTACTTCAGTGATTTGTATGTGTTTCTGAGAAGAAAAAAATACCAACCTTGTCACTAGTAATGGGGGCATAATTAGATATTTCTTGAAAACCTGTTAAAATTAATATTGAGGGATGTGAGTTTCCACTCCACATTTCTATTGGTGTCAGTGGAGTTAACTCATAGGCAGCTGGTTAAACAAGTTTTGGGTTTGGCTGGATGTTTTAATCTGAGGTAAAAGATTTCTATTCCTGCTGTTGTTTAACTCCAGCTTGAGACCAACCACCCCAGACATGAGCTTAGACAGAGGCAGGGATATAGCTCTTGGATAGAATACTGTATTCCTATACAGAAGGAGTAGTAAAATTTTGGAAGCCAGCCAGGTCCAAACATTGTTGCTAGAACTATTAAATCAGACACCATAAATATTAAGGACCAAAATATTATCCCTATACATAAACAAAATTGCATACCCTGACAAATTTTGCACACTTCTCTGGGAAGGAAGCCCTAAGATTTTAATTTAAAGGGACACCTCATGTTAAGGTGCTAAAAAATGGCAAGGAAGATGGTCATTGAGAATGTTGGATTTTTCATTTCATGGCAGATTATTCTTATGCTACAACATTGCTATTTTGTATTGATGGAGGAAAGATGAGTTGGTTCAGCTTCAGGAGCAATTAAATGGCAAAAAGTAATCATGTCATTAACATAAAGTCTCAACAAGTCATTGTAATCTTTGTTTTCATGTTGATATTTTCAAGGACAAGTATAAGTTAAATGCTTTTCTTCTAGTGCAATTGGTTTGGTTTTGATTGTCGTCTACACCAGGAGCAGAGTTATGCTTATGGAGCTTATTCTAACACTATTCACACTAATTCAAAGCTAATAATGATGGGGAAAACATCCCTGTACCAATGTGTAGCTATTCTGTTTAAGAAATAATTTCGAGACTTTTTGACTTACGGTCAGATCTGCTGCTCACATAAGTGAACTCTGTGTTCCTGTGCTGCAGGCTTACTGGTCTTTTATTCCCTCTTTCTACCCTTTCTCCCCCGTTTTTCCTTTTTCCTCCATAATTTTTCTGTATGGAAGAGTCGTCCTCTGGAAGCCTTTTTGGATATTTCTAAGAATTGCAGTGAAACACTCTTGATGCTCCAAGGAAAATGAGGAAAACTGGTTGTTTCAGTTTTCAAGGAAAACTGAAAAAAAAACAACTTTTCCTTAAAAGCAGGTCCCACAATTTGGCTTTGGGATAAATACAGGAGAAACTTTCTTTGCAAGAGGGAAAAACAAACAGAAAGCACAGGGTACTAAGCCTGTTTGTTCAGGAAATTCAAATAATCTCTATTTCACTCAGGTCAGCTCTCAAGAGTGTACAGGAAAACTGATAATTTACTAAAGGATTTCCTTTTAGATTTCCAGTGACATGTTTGGTTACCATAACACTGCTGTTTTGACCTGATGAATGCTGTAAGGTAGACATGACATTTTAAGGGACTGGTGTTGGGGGTTTTTGTGTGTGTATATTTTGTTTTGAATGCTGAAGAAATGTGGTGAGGGCTGGTGTGTTGGTTAAACTGACTTGTAGAAACACTGCTAGAAATATGTTTATGAAGCATATATAACAGAATCCAAAGCATAGTGTATCAAAACAACTATACTGAAAGTTTTGGGGGAAGAGCAAACTTTGTATTCTTTCCAATGGTGTTTAATATTTCTTCATAAAAAGTTACTTGTTCTGAGCACAACTATCTGGAGCCTGGAAACCTTCTTTCCTCCATGAAAGAAATAGTATTTCTGTTTGAAGGTTACTTCAGTACTGAAGGCATTTATACCAGATGAGTTTTGAACACAAAAATTACTGCATTATCTACTGACATTCTTTATTTTGTACTTGTAAAACAGAGATAAAAAACAGATCTTACAAGCATTCTGAAAGCATTTTATTTCAATTAGGAAATCTTCCTGGTGTTTTGTAACAGACTTGTTTTAGATTAATTTGGATGAATCTTAATGGATTAATGAATTAATTATTGCCTTCTCTTTTTGCCTTTTGGTACAGGAATCAGGAACTTAAAGACCTGGGAGAACTTGCTCCTCACTGGGACAACATGCGCAAAAGTGTAATTGCTCACTGTGATCAGATGTTGAGTGTGTACCAGGACACTCTTGCAGAGCTTGGGAAGCATACAGGTAGGAATCTGTGTTTTTTTTCAAGCAGCCTCCTTTCTGGAACATTTACGAATTTGGTAGATTGTTAGCTATGAAATAGTGGCATATTCAGCAGGAATAAAACACATTAAAATGTGTTTTAGAATTAGAATCATAGGATGGTTTGGATTGGAAGGGATCTTTAAGATTATCAAGTTCCAACCCACCTTCCACAGGTCTTCCTCTAGACCAAGTTGCTCAAACTCCCATTTAGCCTGGCCTTGAATGCTTCCAGCAAAGGGGCATCCACAGCTACTCTAGGCAACCTGTTCCAGTGCATCACCCCTGTCACATTAAAGAATTTCTTCCTAATATCTAATCCAAATCTCCCCACTTTCACTTTGAATCCATTCCCCCTTGTCCTGTCATTACATGACTTTGTAAATAGTCCCTCTCCAGCTTTCTTGTAAGCTTACTCCATGTACTGAAAGGTTGCAATTAGGTCAGCCTGAAATCTCTTTTCCAGGTTGAACTATTCCAGTTCTCTCATCCTTTCCTCATAGGAGAGGTGCTCTATCCCTGTAAGCATCTCTGTGACCTCCTCTGGACTCACGCCAACAGGTCCGTGTCCCTCCTGTGCTGGGACCCCAGAGCTGGGTGCAGCACTGCAGGTGGGCTCTCACCAGAGCAGAGGGCAGAATCCCCTCCCTCCCCTGCTGCCCACAGTGCTTTGGATGCAGCCCAGGACATGTTTGGCTTTATGGGCTGAGTGAACATGGCTGGGTCATGTCCAGCCTCTCAACCACCAACAACCCCAAGTCCTTCTGGGAAGAGCTGTTCTCAACCTGTTGATCCCAAGCCTATGTTGATATCAGATGTTGCCCCAACCCAGATGCAGCACCTTGCACTTGTTCTTGTTAAACCTCATGAGATTTCCATGTGTGTCCTCAGTGTAGTAGTTGTTTTTGCCCACATTGTGCTAGGAAAGCAGAGAATTAATATGGGGTGGGCAGTGCAAATATATCCTTAGTCTAGAAAGAGCAGTAAGTGCTGCCTCGCTCTTTTTCATGTGGAAATGGTGATCTTGGATTCTGATATGCACTGAGAGCTTGTTCCCTCAGTATCCAACAGAATCCTGTGGTCAGGGTCTATATTGTGCTGTAGTGTCCACATGCCAGTGGAATAAGATAGCATCAGTGACAAATGTGTAGAAAAGACAACTGATCTCTTCCTCCTCTAGAATTTCTTATTCACAAAATGATGATGAAAAGTCAGCAGAGAAAATGATTTATTTTTTTTTGTTTTGTTCACAAATCATTCAAGGAACTTACATAAGTCTTTTCTGTTTTACAAGATTACTAATAATTTCCTGAATCACACTGTATTTTGATCAAAGTTTTCTGTTTACAGCAGGCCTTTTTGCCTCTCCCTGGCCAGTTTATAAGGCATTCCGTAAGGAAATGGGCAGGTCTGCTCTATATTACAACAAAGGCTTTGTCATTGTTGCTGCTTTCTTACTGGTGTCAGATTTCTAATACCAGTCCTCCCAATCACCATCTCAGAGATGTGTTTTCAATGATCATGTTGCCATTATTGCTTGCAAACGCTGTTTTACTCTATACTTTCACCTTTAGATGTTCCCCCTTTGGCCTTGTTACCACAATTTTGTATATGTAGGCATAGAAGTGCATGTCAGAGATAAACACTATAATATTTCTGAGAGAAAGATACATTAGGGTTATGAATATTTGTGAAAACAGGTAGAAGTGATGATAGCATCTTGTGAAAAAACAGGGAAATATTTATGAAGTATTTGTAGTATTTTCCTCATTACTTCTAGCTTTCTACATATTCCAACCAAAACTTCTTTGTGTACTGAGAAATGGAACAATCAGGTTCATTATACAACTAACATAAGTAATTTCTTCTTATAGATAATTGAATGCATTTACTTTCAATATAATGAATCTGTTGCACTTATTAGGTGAGACACATCTTTGCCTCCCAAAATAGCCATTAAAACTTCCCTCCTTTAGCTATTATCTTCTAATATAGGACTGAGTATGGTACTTCTCATACCAGATTTTTCTGTGATAGTGTTCTTTGTCACAGAAAAAGAGTAATCCTATTTTAGTGTATGAAGAAAAACCAGTCTCTAACTGAAAGTGAGCTTTTTGGGAGCAGTTGGTCAACTGTTAAAATATGTGTTGGGGGAAAAAAAGCTCATGTGTTGCACTGAATGTTGTATAATATTTTCCATTTTGTTTGCAAAAGTGTAATTTCTTGTATTTATGATTGTTTTCCATCATCAGAATATTCCAGTTCCAATTTTGGCAGACTACTGTCTTACTCAGTATGACAATTCCTGTGATTCTGTTTTAAATTATATATATGTATTTTCAATCTTTGACTAATATTGTGGTTTTAAGGCAGTAACTAAAAAAATTACTAGAAAACTTATTTATTTCTTGCTGAGGGATATGGATTAGAGCAAGCGCAAAACAGGCTTAAAACTTAAAAGGAATAAAGAGAGTTTATTAACAAAACTACAAGAATAAGAACACCAGAATAAACTTCCATAACAACCCTTTTATCCCCCGCTACCCATCATTCCCTTGTTCACATGACAACATAGAGACAAAAAACTTTGGAACTTTGGTGTTTTAAACAGTCCCAATTCTTGCTAGAGTCTTTCCATCAGCCTTTGTAGAGAAACAGAAGTCTTCTTCTGCTAATCTATGGAGTTTCTCACAAGAAAACTATTTCTGTTAAAGTTTTCTATTTCTCTGATGCCAGCTGCCCGGAAATCTGCCATCAGTTCACTCCTCCCATTTCACATCACTCTGAGGTGTGTATGGGCCATGAGTCTAGGGATGTCATTTTTAAGGATGAGTTATTCTAAGGCAGAAGTCCTCTTCATCTGTCTCTGTCAGCTTTTCTGGAAACAGTTTTCTCATTGCCCTCAAGGCCTCAAATCTTCGCTCCACTCTGTTCCAGCACCTCACTGTATCACAATTACTCTACTTTTTGCTCAAAATCCACACTTTGAACACTCCATTCCTCCCAATATACTCTGTCATGAATTAAAGGAGGTTTTTTTCAGAACATTATTGTCCATTTCCATAGCATTAACAGAAAAATATTTCAGCTTATAAAGCATCTCCTTATTCTCTCTTCCCCATCTAAAACTTAACTCTTTTCTTCACTGTCTTCTTCATGTTGATTGTCTCTCTCTCTCTGTCTCTTGGGGAAAAAAGGAGTAATCTGTATGTTTTATCCAGGTAATAAAAGAATTAAAGTCTTGGAAAAGCTGCAGATGTTCATAGTGTCAGGTTTCAGTCCAGCAGCAGAAACTACAAACTAAACCAAGCTGGCCGGCTCTGCTTCTCCCCTTCCCACCCCCCTGTGGCCTTGTCCGGCCTAGAGGGTGTGGGGAGGAGGCCAAGACAGAGCCCCGTTACCTTGTCAGAAGCCAGAAACACAAAGCGAACAAGAGAACTCTGGCTTTACATCTTAAGGGGTTGTTCACAAGTTGATCTCACTTTTCAATGGTCAAAACTGCTGTCAGTTCTTAGAAATGACCGATAATTGGTCAGGAGAAAAGACTCCCATCAGCCACCAGCAACTTCAACTTCCTTAGCTTTCAAAACTATCTTAAAGGTAAAGTCACCCCAAGACAGCTAATTACTTCTTGAACACACTCCATACAGTGTCATAAGCAAGCCAATAAATACAGATAATGCAGGAACCAATGTAATAATTATAACTTGCAGGAAAATATTAAAAGGATGTTTTGAGATTAAAAAAAATAGACAATATAATCTAATAAACATAAACCCTGCAAGACCTGTATTTCTCTTGAGAGAAATAAAGTGGACCTGGGAAACTCAGATTATCCAGGAGGACTGAAGTAGCACATATAAAAGAGAAGTAACATTTATCAGAAAACAAAGCAACCTAATAATTGTAGCAAAAATGAGAAGTAATGACTAAATGTAAATTTGTTCATTTCTTCTCTATAAACAAGTACACTTTATAACTTCAAAAAGCAAGATTATAGTCTTTGATAAGAACAGCAAGCCAGACATATATTTGACTTAATACTGTAGTTGCACAAATAGTTACGTTGGGAGCACATTGTAGATACTTGAAATTCAAGTACTTATGAAGTAGAAATTACTAAGATTAGGGGTGGGACCACAATTTTAATTCGATTTACCAGGTCAAAATATTTCAAGGCATGCCAAAAAACATTTTGCTTTTCAATTTAGCCAGCACAGGTATCTTTCTTCATCTTGGAATATTCTCAATATGCTCAAAACCTGAGTTTAGGTTGAAGTATTCAGAAGAGCAGATTGCACCTGCAAATAAAATTTCTCCAAAATATTCTCATGCTTCCTCAACACAATCTCATGTCAGGCTATCTGAGTGACACCCACTTCAACTCAACCAAACTATTTGTGGAATTTAGTGAAGAAGGCTGTTAGGAGAACACTTCATTACTTTTTGAAATCAAGAGATTGCTGTGGAAGTATCAGGAGACCATATTAGTGTTAGACAGCAATTTTGGTTTAGCAGCATATTAATTGAAAATGGAGGTTTAAGAAAGTTAATACTATTTCAAATTTGAGTTGTTTTGGAAAACACTTTTATCCTCAGTAATGTGTAAAGCATTCCTATTGTAAGGAAACATATCAGGAAGATGTAAGGGTTAGGTAACAAAAAGCCCAGTATTTTCAGGTGAATCTAAGACACAGATTTGGTGGTATTAGGAGCGAGTGAAACTTTGAAAATTATTTGTTTGTATTAGTTTGACCTGAAATTATCCCTAGATGATTTTCCCTAGCCCCCAATTTTCTTTTTTTAATGTCTCAGTCATCAAACTGAAAAATCTGTTATTCATCCAGCCCTAGAAGGAGCTAAAAAGACAGTGAAGGCTAAGGCAATTGAATATTGTTCACAAAAACTGGACATTAACCCTGCCTCTGTCACAAACTTCCTATGTAGGCAAGTCAGACTTGAGAAGTGATTAGTGTGTTGTTCTTTTTTGGAAGCCTGGCACTAAACACAATTTTTTTTGCAGAAGTGCTTGGTACTTATGTATGCAATTTAGCCCAGTGGGTGCTGTGTTTCCAAAATGGAATGTGATGTTGCATTATAATGAGTGTTCTGCAGGACAAGTTCTTCAATATCTTATATTGATGCATTGTTTCTTGAATGTTTATTCTCTGACATTAGGATGGGTGGAATTATAACTCAGCCAGTTAAAATTATTTAAAAAAAATTGTAAAGTCCTTAGAGGCTGCTAATATGTATATAGTAGACAAGTTTTAGGAAATTAATAACCTTGACGTTGAGGAAGGTTTGAGCAACATGTTTAAATCCTGAATAAATACTGAAATAAAAGTTGGAAACAAGATATTGAATCACTGCTTCTAAAATGAGCGGCCAAGACACTGAACATTCAGTGAATGTTCAGTAAAATTCAGTAAAGGCTGATACATGATATATTATTGAAGCCCATTTCTCAGTTCGTCAGGTGGATGTCAGATGAATGTTACATCTATATTTATTACATGAGTCATTGGCTGGAGACAGAAACAACATTAACTCACCGAGGGTCCTCAACAAATAGCCTTGAGTTTATTATAGCTGCCCCTTTTATAGGGGGTTTGAATTCCCTGGGCTTGGATAGCCAATTGGTTGAGATCTCTACACTGCCCCAGATCTCTGGCCAGTGATGTGTCTGAATCTAGAGTTAAACAGGGTTGGCTGAAGTCTCTGAGTTCAAATCTATCCTATCATTGCTTACCCAGGGACTTGTTCTGCTTTTCTAGGATGAGCCAGGCTAACCATATTTGGTTTATGTTATGGCGAGATTTATCCTGTCCAGGTACAGACCAACTGTACTGTGACATTTATTCTGGTACTTCCTAACTTTGAAGAGTTTGATCTTGCAACAATAATAAGAAGAACTGTTTTTATTGAGGGAATATAATTTTTTTTTTAGTTCTTAAATAAAACTTAACAAGTTACTTAAAAACAGACTATACCTAAAGTTAATTTTATGGTATGGATTCTATTGGTAAATGCAGATTGAGATGTTAATTCCACTGCGTAGATCTCATACCTGAGCAAATCTAGTAACTGATAGCAGCTGGGTGGTCCTTATCCAGTAATTTTCTGGCACTGGATGGAAAGGGTTACTTGTTTCACAGGTCTTCCCTGAAAAACAGGAAAACCAAAACTCACCAATTCTGCAGGTCTTGTGCTCAGGGCAAAAGTGTACTCCTGAGAGTAGGCTCTTCTTCCTCTTACTCTTCTTTCACTTGTCGTTTTAGTCTGCTGTCATCTTATTCTCCTCTTGTTCAGCCAGTGTTTCCTTGTCTCAAGTCCAGTTATCATTCTTTAAGCTTTGAACTTGGTCTCAGCTGAATTCTCAGGAATAATCTGCCCCTTTCTGTTTCTTTCCAAATTACTTACAGCCTCTTTCCCTGCACTATTCTCATTTATTTTCTGATAGTTTGAGTTGCCTTCACTACACCCCTAATTGCTTGGGTTTTTCAGATACAGGTTTCACACAGCATCATTTTTTCCTAGCTTTGCTTTTTATCTTTGTTAAATTATTATTTTAAGTTACTAAACTTAGGAAGCAGCTTAACCAGGCTTGGCTGGTCTGGAGCATCATTGGTGCCCTCTGGCAGAGTGGTTTGTGTTGGGAGGCTCAGTGCTTAGTCCTCCTGGAAACTATGACCATTTCAAGAGATAAGCACTAGCAAGTCTTGACTGAGCAAGCAAATAACAATTTAAAAATTTTCCTTTACCTTTTTCTGTGTTTGTTTCAAGAAAAGGGTGAACCTTGACAAAATTTATTTTAAAATTCTATCTGAATGAGAGGAATTTTAGTTCTGATAATTAATAGTTGGCAAAATGACAGGGTGTTGAAAAAGTGGGCTAGGTAAATGTTGGGCTGCCTGAGTTGGAAGACAATTCCACTACTCTTTCTAATTTGCACCCTTTTATACACCCTTGATATAGATATACAGATATACCCTTGATACAGATTCTGAATCAAATATCTTCAGGTAAATTATATTTTCATACTATCAGACATTAATTATATTCCTTTACACCATCATAAAACTACTCATAATCTCCTACTTTTGAAATATGCAGCCATATTTATGGTTTTTTGTTTTTCCATGGCATCATGCCTCCTGTGAACTAATATATAGCTTTCCTTAAGATAGCTTGTGTTTCTTTATTTGAGCTTTCTAGGAAGAATGCATAGCCTTTTCAATATAATACTTTGAAGAAAAAAATGTTGGAAAAATTCAGTGCCATCATAGCTCTGTACTCTTGTGGTTTTAGCACAGAATAAATGGAAATGCACATTAACTGCTACATTGTCTCCAGCAGACTCCAGACTGATTTCAGACAGGGAAAAGTATCTATCTCCTTGTCTTGGTTTGCAAGACAGGTGTCTGCTAGGTTGGGCAGGAGCCTCCCTTGGAATGAAAATGTAGACGCCCCTCCCTCCAAATTACTATAATTTTGAAATCAAGGGCTCTCAGGCAGAGATGTGGGGATAGGAATAACAGTTCTTTACTAGTATTTATAACAAGGCAAACAAACAACAATAACTACAGCATTAACAACAAAACAGAACCAGGGACCCCGGGACAGCTTTCTCGGCCGAGGCTTTGCTTCACAAACCCCTCGGGCAGTCAGTCCCGGTGCTCCTGCAGGGCTCTGAGGAACAGTCGGCTGGAACAGCAGGGATGAGCTGAGATCCTGAGCGGGTGCCTGAGGTGGATCAGCAGCTCCACGGCGGCGGTGGCTGGCACTGGCACGTCCCGGCAGGACGGGGTGGGGTGCAAGGCCCATAAAGAAAGAAGAAGAAGAAGAGGAGGAAGAGGAAGAAGAGGAAGAAGAAGCTCCGTCGGGATGATGCTGAATTCCTCTCCTCAAGCAACCACAGCTCCCTTTGAGTGTTCTGCTCTGAAGCTGAAGAAACCAACCAGCCCCCAGCTGCCCCTGCCCTCCCTTTCTTCCTGCCCCCCTTCCCCCCTGGGCCCAGCGAAACTCTTTCTGTTTCTCAAGCACCCAATAAATGCCAGAAATCAGGTTTCCCCGCAACTAATGGGTAAAAATTCCATAGGTGAGATGGAACAAAAGGAGGACACCTAATCCCCAACATTCCTAGAATAAAAATTAGATAGTTCTGTGAATTAAAAGCTGGTTTGTTGCTTCCAGTATGGATACATACTGAGACTCATTTAGTGAACCTTTAGTCTTGTAACATACAATTACACCTTAAAAGTAAATTAGAAATGACTCCTGACATGCAAGTATTTCACTTTAAAGGGAATACAGAAACATCTGGATGCTTAAGACAATGATTCTTTAAACTTTTGTTTTTCAGGTTCTTCATTTAAGTCAAGCAGTAGCAAAGGAGAAAAAACACTAGAATTCATCCCAATAAATCTTCATCTGCAAAGAATGCATGTGCATAGTCCTCGATTGAAAGGTAAAGAAATTCCCCAAATATGACAAAATATGCTTTGAAATACACTGAAATTTAGAAATCAGGTCCAAAGTTAAAGCTGTGCAAGGAATTTCTCTGCCTCATCTTCTGATGCCACAAGTTGTGGACATTTACTGCAGATCTTGGAGAACTAAAATGTGGTTAACTAAATTTCTTCGAAGTTCCTTTCTAAAAATAGATTCCAGGGATGTGCTCATTTTTTTCCTATGACACTTCAAGCAAATAACATGCAGAATGCAGAATATATGCTCACTGAAATGTATTGGTAACCTATGCATGGTTAAAAATATTCTGTTGTAGTAGTGCAGAACTAATACTGTATGATTCATAGTGACACACTGCACAGTGCTCAGTAAGATTCACGTCCTTCTCGGGCACTCACTTAATTTTTCATTTTGATCCATAATGCTGTAAAAGCCAGACTTAACAGTCTGGTTTTAAGGCAACTTTTCTTCCCCCAACTGCCAGTTTGCCACCAGAGATAGTGACAGTGCACAATACAGTACTTTTCCTCACAGAGATTGCTGGGATGAGCTCACTAGCCCAGGTGATGGGAGGTACATGGCTCCATAAAGGAGAGTATTACTTCTAAACTTAATATATCCTATTTCTTAGGAAGTTGTAGTAAGCCCAGCACTGCTTGGTTCTAAATCAGCTTATGCAGTGCTACCCTGTCATGCCTACCTACCCCAATTAAGCATTCATTCAGTGTTAAGTGAAAATACCTCACTGATTATACTGAAAATACTGCAAACTTCCAACATCTTCTGGAAAGGGGGATAACTTTCTGTAAGATCATCTGTGGTTCTTTTTAACACAGAATCCTGTTGCTGCTTGCATATGATTGTAGCAGCTTTCTTTACAGATTGAAGATTATACTGATACATATATATGACCAAATCACAGGGAATACTTTGTTGATATATTGAGATCTGTTAAATTTGCTGTCACTACAAACACAGAAATTACATTCTGTAAGGTTTTTGCCTTATTGATACACTCTGCACCCATGACTGTAAAGCAGTAAGTTCTAACAGTGGTAAAACTCCTGTTTTATACTGTGTGAGGATGATGTTCATCTACTTCCAGGTTGGAAAACAGAGACTTCCAATCTGTGAGATACTGGTTGGTTTAATATTTTTTAATTTTTTTACTAAAAAACTGTTCCTCCAAACAGTTCAACAAGATAGGTATTTATAGTGGCATAATGTGACAGCACACATTTTAATTTAATGTTTTGAAGTTAATTAACTCAAAAGCATTTTTAGGTTTGTAATGGTGGCTAGAAGCTTAATATTATGTCTTTTCAAGAAAACCTCTTTGTGAATAAGACACTCTATGTCTATTTGCTAAATAAAAAGTGGAATGAAATAGTCACTTACTTAAACACCCACAACTTTTACATTACTGGAGTTTTATTTTTTTATTCATTTTCTCCCTCCTCCGAAACTATTTTGCTTGGAGTAAATGATTAATCCATAGTCAAAAAGGGTACTGAAAGAGATAAATGTTAGAATTGTTCTAGTTATCTTCTAAATTTGGATCTTTAAATTATAAAATTCTGCCTCTATTACTTAACTAATGTTCACTGTGTCTTACGTTAGATATATACAGTCTGAACAGTTTCTAGCAATTGCTAATCAATCTGGAGTGGGCAGCACTTCAATATGAAGTTGTTCTTTCTCAGCTGATGCTTTATATCAAATATATATCAAAGGACACCTGCAGTATAACCAGGAGAATGATATTGGAAGGGAGAGAATAAAAATTCATAGAGGTGGCATTTAAACAAGCTAATGATCCATGGAGGTGCCATTAACCCTTATGCTGTTGGATATGTTAATTTTGGGAATGCAAGATAGGTTTTAATCCCATCTATTGTATACGCACATTGGTATGTGGTTTTTTTTGTGTTTGATATGTATAATTGCATGTTTACTTTTCCTGAACTTTGATTTGGGTTGTTATTGGGTACTGACATGGAAGACAAAGTGTGCTTTAACTTTCAGTAGGAATAGCTTTGAGAAAAATACTAATTCCCTATGGGTCAACACTATCCCTATCCATTTGATAAGCACCACATTGTGCTCTGTTCATCATACTAGAGAGCTTAAATTTATATATTGACATAGCTTTGCTTTTATTCCTATTTACAATATGTGCTCATTTTAAGTAGATTTGGTGAACTGAAGTGATTTTTGTTTTGCATCTGGCTAGTCTGAGACACTGACCACCTCCTGTGGAGGCACGGAGGTTAACTCAAAATTTGGATTGAGCTGCTCTTGACAATAAGATACAGCTCCTGTGGTGCTCTGCTGCATTTTAAGCTCTGTCTTCACTGCAGAGGGGTGTCAGCAGTAGCCTGCTCTTGCTTGATGGTTATGAGTTACTGGAGGACTCCTGTAACAGCACACTGGTGCTGACACTGCATGTCCTTCACACGGAACTCCACTGATGTGTAAGTAGAGCACATCACAAGGCATTCCTCCCAAGCCTTGCAGCACTCTCTGCTGCACTGTGCTCTGGGAAGTGGGAGTGAGGTTGCCCTGTATCCATCACTAGACATGGATGTTTACTCCTCATCCTTTGCCATCCTCACTCTCCCATGCAGGTTATGTGAGGCAGCTGGGTGTGTTTCTATCTCAGACAGCTGCTCCTCGACAATGCTGGGATGAGACCACAGGCTGAGTAAAGGCTTTCTTCTGGATAAATCCTGCCCTCTCCCACAGTAACTATAAACAGGGTCATGTCTATTTTTAAAACAGTCAGAACCAGGGTTTAGTCTTTTAAATGTTTTTCTGTCATTTTATGAATTATCTCTAAAAATATTCAGAACCCTGATGAGTTCATCTCTTATCTTGATTTCAAGCCACTGCTGTAAAAGCAATAGAACCCCTTTTTGTCAAGTACCAATGGAGCTCTAATAACTGCATAATATGTATTATGGATAAAACTGTATTAAGACCTGAAAGAATGGGCTATTTAAGAATCTTGAAGCTCACCTTAGGCTAATGAAATTATGTCACTTCTCCTTTTAAGTGGATATTAAAGAGTCACCAACTCATTAGAGCTCAAATCAATTTGAGCAAATATGTTCTGAGATTCAGCTTGGGAAGTAAAGCATAGTTCATTAACTGTGAATCATTTGTACAGTGTTCTTGCTTCTAGGGATATTTATCATCAGAACGCAATAAGAGTTCTATTTTAGGAGAGGACTAGATTTTAATTTACATGGGAAGCTTCTTTGATGAATAAAACAGCTCTAAAAAAAATCCTGTAATGTTTTCTTTAGAAATACATTTAAGAATGAGGCATTCTGAACTGTGTTTTTATACCTCTAGTAAGTTCAGGTACAAAACAGTGTAAATGTTAATTTAAACTTTGAATAAAGAATTATTGTGGTGTGGGATGTAATAAATCTTCATCTCCACACTGACTATCAATCATAAGCTCTTTTAAAAATGATGTTTCACCTCCAGTTCTGTAAGCATATATCCACACAAAAAGTTCATCCCCTATGTCATAAGACATCAGGTATATACAGAAGGAGACAACAGTTTGTTTCCCCAGCAAGAATTTCAGTAGTATGCTTCATTTCCTATTCTGGTAGCTTCTCACCTGAGAACAACTGACCTTCTCTGCGCTCATAAATATATATAAAAAGTTAGTGTATATCACAGAGCAGGGCTCTCCAATTTAGCATTAAACACCATTACATCTGAAAGTACATTAGCATTACATCTAAACAAATACAAACTAGAAAAGAAGTAGGGATTTTTCCTAGTCTGATTGACTTCTCTGGGAATGCAGTGAATTCATTGTCACTTGCAATCTTTAAATCAATATTATATACCTAAACAAAGAGATGCCTTCATTCAACCAGCTTGATGCAGTAATCATTACCTGTAATTCTGTAGCCTCTATTATTCAATCGGACTATTCCATCATAGTGGTCTCTTTTGACTCTAAAATGCTTGAATTTGTGCATCTCAACATGACTACAAGTTAAATAATGAAAGTGGCAATATAGTGAAATACACAATGGGCCAATTTACTTGGCATATTTGTAAACTGCAGAGCTGGAATATTATTCTGCACTGCAGCACATAATTTAGATGTAGCCATAAATCAGATTAACTTTTTTAAGTGTGCAGGTGGCTGTATGGAAAGATTGATTAGCTCTTGGGCCTTCCTGGGACATGGATTATCAGTTATTCCCTGGAAATTATATAGACTTGTCCTTTATGTAGAGTAGATGTCACAGTGTTGCCATGACTTGGGGATAGCAGCGTTCAAATATCTGTGTTTCTCTATTCCCATTCCAGATGCTCTGTATGATGTTATCACCGTGGGAGCCCCAGCAGCACATTTCCAAGGATTTAAGAATGGTGGTCTCCGGAAACTGCTAAGTAAATTTGAGGCAGAAAGACGAAAGTAAGTATTCTTTCTGGTAGCTTGGAAAATACCATTAAAGTTGCATTAAAATGCTTGTGAGCTGAGTAATGAAACAGTTTATCCTGCTAAATGAATGGAAGATTAAAATCTAGTAGGATTGGACATTGCAATCATAAAATAATTCCTTCATTTTCCCTGCTTTGCTGAAAATTGAAGCACTGTCTATTTTTAATGTTAAGACTAATTTTGAATAAATGCAGGAATTGGCCTCAAGGTGTGCCAGGGGATGTTCAGGTTGGGCATCAGGAAGGATTTCTTTGTGGAAAGTGTTGTTATGCATAGGAACAGGCTTCCTAGGGCAGTGGTGGAGTCATCATCCCTGGCAATGTTCAAGAAAAGACGGGACTTGGCACTCGGTGCTGTGGGTCAGTTGTTATGGTGGTTGTTTTGTCAAAGGCTGGACTCAATGATCTTGGAGGTCTTTTGCAACCTTAATGATTCAAAAATGTGATTCCTTTTCATCATATTTCAGGAGGCTGGAGGTATATCAGTGCTTGAATACCTGCTTTTCAGAACAAGGTATCCCTTTGGCAATTCTTGTGCTAAGAGGAATGCACCTGTAGACAATTTTTAAATACAGAAACTGAAGCTTAAGGTAGAAACTTTATTTATGAAAGTCCTGGGTGTATGCTAAGAAAAAAGTATTTTTAGCACATTGTGAAAAAACAGGCTAGTCTTATTTCTTCAGAAAGCCAAAATAAGACTAATCAAAAATGAAGATTTCAGTTTCTTGTGGAACTCGAGTGCTTCATTCACCATTGAACGTGCACAAAAGTGATAGTTACATCTTTTCCTGACTAAGAATTGGATGTATTTGTGTTTGATGCTATGGCTGTTAGGACTTTCAAGCAGGCACAGCTGTCACTGGAAGCACCCATAGTTGTGACTGCTCAGTGCTTTAACTGATGGTGCTAACTGCAGTGTTACAGCATTCCAGAGAGAATGCAGGAAAGAAGTACTCTGATCTAAATTATCATGACATTTCACAGAAAATTAATTCAATTATGTTCAATGCTCAAAAATGTTGCATGGATACAATATCATAAAGAATAAAAGGAAAATTATACAAATCTGCTGTTGACTTCTAGGTTGAATAGGAGTTGGCATCAATGTTAAAACCAAACAAAACTCAGCAGATCTAGTTGTTCTGAAAGCTGTATTATTGGGGGGATCTTGCTTGCACTACACAACTAAAAAACCCTGTTAAATCTTAAAAAATCTTCCATTTCCCTGACCACCTCTGATGTTGAAACCTGCCAATAAAATATGTACATCACTGATCACATAAGACACATCAGTGAACTTTGTGTTAATATTCTGCTGTCAACTAACTGGTATAGACAGCCTTATCCCCATCATATGGAGGCCTACAAAGTACATGTTTTCTGCTGAAGAAATTGCTAAAGACATTTCTTAAAGTATCTGTTCCTTTACTATCTGATTAATGTAGTTGCAATAGTGTTTTGTGGGTTTTTATTATAATAATTTATTACTGAAGCCACAAGATATATGTAATTTAATAGACTTAATCCTTTAAAGTCATATGATATAAAGAACATTACAGTTCTCACAGTGCTCTCAGCTTTCAGAAAATGAATCATTCTCAGTAGCTCAGTCCTGCAGCATGTCCATACTGGCAGAGTGCGACTTCCCAAAATGGAGGATAGCTGTGGGATAAATTATTCTCTGTGATTTCTCTTCATCGGAGAAAAGAGAAAATGCCTTTTAGGGAAGAGAATGTCTTCCTGCAAGAACACACATTGCAGTATCTCATAGGCATCATGAGACAATGCCCATGTTTCTTTGTTGCTGATAATAGGGGAGAGGAGATGATGGGTGAGAGTTTTGTGTGGGCATTTCCAGTCTATTTCAAGAGCCCTGCACCTTACATTTGCTCTGCTGCATCCCTCAGAAACACCTGTGTTTTGGCAGTTTTTAAGGACAGGGTAAAATAAGTTTACTCTGACAGTTTCCTTTGTGTTTCAGGGTTCTCCTGGAAAAACAAAAGTCTGTCTTCAGAATCATATAACTAGGGTCGCTACATTACTATCCTGTCAGAGTATTCCTAAAAAGAGCCTGAGTCAGGCTAGCAAACTTAAGTTTGAGCACTGAAAACAGTGCACTGCAGTTTTCAGCTAATTACATGCCAGAGCTGGGGAAATGGCCACTTGTGTATGAATTCCCACAAAGCAGAAAGGAGGAAGCCTCCAAAATTTATCTTTCCTGCTATCTTTGAGGGCAGCTCAGAGAAAATTCTATGTTTTGGTTTTTCAACTTCAATAACTTGTGTGAGTTGAAAGGTAAGCAAGCTCTCAATACAGTCTCACTTAATGAATATTCAGGAGGGGGTCTGCTTTAAATAAATACAGGAAAAGACCATTCTCAATCTTATCATGGAGAGATTTATTTCACTGTGGCAACAACAGTGTTATTTTGCACACACCTGTTTATTTTGCTGCATAAAGATGCTTTGAGGACACATACTGTCCCCAGGAGCACCTTTTGCAATTTAAATTTTCTGTTTACAATGGGGGTAGATTTTCTGTAGATTTTGTTGAAGGAAAAAGTGACACCTTGAGGTACCAATCAGAGTACAGAACAAACAGAAAAAATGCAGATTCAGCAACCATTTCCTCTAGGCTAACTGAGCTGAAGAGCTAAACCAAGATGTGGGAAGAGATTAGTTCTCAGCCAATCCTGGTATTTTTCAAGATGTGACAGAATGCCTTGCATGTCTTTGTCCTTAATTCTGATTATTTGAACAGTTTATCAAAATATTCAGCAGTGTTACCATCTCATAAAATATTTCTTTCTCAGTCTTAGACTTGTGGAATTAACAGCCAAGAGGAACTGTTATCTGGTAGCATTTGCAGTTGCCAAACAAAAACAAGACTGAGACATATGTTTTGTGAAAGTTTGTGGAAAATGTGTTTCTGAAAATAGTTCTGGCATGTTTTCTATTACACAGAATAGAGATCTTTGTGAACAGACACAAAGGGAAAGCCCTGTATATAATAATATTTACAAAAATGTAGTGTTTATGAAATTATTGTCTCATTTATTACCATCAGGAAGGTCATATTCAGTTTTTTTAAAAGGCATATTAAAAAAAATATTTTCCGAAATAAGAGCAAGAAAAGCTTTTCTTTTGGATGAAAAATATAGAACTTCCTGGTATGTGATCTGAAGTCTGTTCCATAGCTTTATAACCCATTCACACACTGTTCATCTGTACCAAAAAGACAGATCAAAGGCCCTTCCACTATAAATATCGGTCAAGTCTATGAAGCATGGCTGTAGTATGTCTGTCCCTTTAGTAGCAAGTAGTGAATTTCATAAGATAAGTAAGAAAAATTGCTACTTTTAAAAATTTCTATTTAAGCATGATATCATTTACATTAAAATAACTAAAATATTATTATTAAAGTATGGTAAATAATTTAAGAATATTAATTACTTGTGTATGATATACATTTATTTTAGAATATTTTTCATTATTCTGTATTGGCATGTTACATTCATTTTTTTCCTTTCCTATTTCTGTATAAAAGAGAAAGTCACTCAGTTGTTCAGATAGTCTTTTTTGGCTTGATAGCATAGACTGTTTCTCCTTCCAGCAAATGGAAGGGCTTGTCTTCTCATCAGTCTAGATGGCATAGCAAATTATTGTTTTAGCGCTCAGTTGTGCAGAAACATTTAAATCAGACATTCTCTAAGTTATATGCATATAATACCTCACTGCTTGAAGTGTTCATAGATTACTTGCAAGACACACAAAAGACTATTTTTTCTTATTTAAAATCTAATTTAATCATCTCTGTTTTACCCAAAACACACAGACTTATGATTGCAATTTTTTTAATGCACTAGGTCTAACCATCAAGAAAAAGAGAGGTCCCACAAGCTGTGTTAGGTACTGTGATTCACTGTGGTTTTATACATAGTTTCTAGAAAGCTCTTTGGAAATCATCCTGTTTTAAATTCACAAAATGTTAAAATTGGAACACAACTGAAAATTATTTTCTGGTGTGTTTTTTTTTTTTTCTCCAAAAGCTATAATAATTTAATTTGGGTTTGAACTGTCTAAAAGGACTATTTCTCTTTCACACCTAGATTTTTAGTAAAGGTATGAGCTGTGCTCCTTCAGTAATGTATCTGTTTAGTGACCAGAAATTTTTTTAATATTGCAATATTCTCTGTTCCTATTGCCTGAATTTTGTGTCCTTCAACCCATTTCCATTCTCTGAGGAATCAACCATTTCACAGAGAGTCACAGAGATGTTGAAGTAATGAAGATCTGTGTTTGATCTAATTGCAAGCTTTATTCTCAAAGAAAATGTCTGTCATGCCTAACACTTCTCATGTTATTCTTCTTGACACATGTGTGTGAGAGAGATTGGACTTCATGGAAATAGGAATGAAGAAAAATAGAGCAGCAAGAAACGTTCTGTGCATACAGCCTTAGCCATTTGCCTCAAGATAAGGATTTGTGAGCATTTGATCATCATAGACAGAATTAATAGCATAATTCCATTTTCCTCATATTCAAAGTTAGAATTTCCAAGGTAGCAAGGGAATCTTAAGGAAATAAAAAAAACCAAAGTAATTCAAATTTCTAGTTTCTTCCAAGCCTGTTTTTATAACCTCAGATCTGATCATCTGGTTTAGTTGTATTTCCTGAGACCATTAATTACCCAGAGAATTTATAGAGCAATTTATTTTTGATCATAAGTTCCCACTTCAGACAGAATACATGTGATCTGTAAGGAAGGCACTGAATTTGTATCTTCAGTAATGTACATAAAATTCAAGTTATCTAGGGGTAGATGCACTTGCTGTCTATGCTTTAACTGTATTTTTGATGCTAATGTCTGTGGGTTTGACTGTGAAAAATGGGAGATCAAATGCTCATTGCTGGAAGATTTTAAGTTAGTCCCATATGGTGACAATTTAACTCAGTGACACAAATTACACAGTTAACAGTGGGAGTGGGGTAACTCAGAGGTTCATTATAAATTAGACATTTACCATATTTCAGTATTTATTCTCAGGCAAAAACTTTATTAATCTAGAATTAGAATGTATCCAATTTGATATTTATTCAAATGTCTTGGTTTGAAAGACAGGTGGAAAATATGACCCCCTTCCTTACAAATTATTGTAACTTTGAAATTACAGGGCTTTCATGTGAAGATATGAGAAAAGGAATAACAGTTCTTTAGAAGTATGTATAACAATGCAAACAAACAAACAACAGCAGCAGCAAACAGAGCAGAGCCAGAAACCCAACCGCAGCCTTCTCTGGGCTGTCAGGCACTTTCCCCTTCGGTGCAGTTCCGGGCACAGCCGGCAGGGGCGCTGGTGGCTCCCGGCCGGGCGCGATGATTCCCCCGCGCCGGCAGGGGGCGCTGTGGCGCGAGCTCAGCAGCCTCTCCACACAGTCATGGTGGCTGGGCTGGCGGGAGAGGGGAGAGAAGGGACTTTCCAAACCTGTGGGGGCCGAAGAATGAGCCAGCAAAGGGACTGTGGCACTCCCCCAGAGAGCTTATCCTTAGGCAAGACACTTTTTCCTCGTAGTGAGGAGGTGTCCCCACAAGAAGGAGTCGGTCTCAGTGCCCCTCTGGGTTGTGTAATGGACTACAGCAGGAACCTTAGAGCAGCAGCCTGGAACAGGAGGGGCGAGCACAGCTGGGGTGACAAAACAAAATGTAGCAAATACTCCAAAGCTGTGCCAGGAGCCATGAGGGTTGAGTGGACAAGGGGTATTGAGTTCAAGTGTAGCAAAAAAGCCCTGAAGCAGGGACAGAAAACAGGGGCTGGGCAGCGGATTGCTTGAGCAGCTCACCAGCAGTGACTGATCCTGGGGCTGGGCCACTGTGCAGAGGGAATGGACCAGCAGGGAGGGCTCCTGGTGTAGCATGCAGCAGGCCTGCACTCCCAAGCAAGCAGAGAAGCAGAGAAGCAAGCTGGTAAGCTTCAGTCACAGTGCCAAAGGAAAAAGAAAAGAAAGAAACAGTCAAAAAGCATGGGGCAACAGGATATCCCATCAGAGGCACTGTGCAGCATGGCAGCTGTATCAATCACCCCACAAGAAGGAAGAGTAGCCCTGGCCCCTGAGCCCTGGGTGATCCCAGGCTGTCCATCACCCATCATGATACTCCCAGAGCCAGGGGACTCAGTGACACAAAACAAAACAAAACAAACAGCAAAATAAAAAAACAACAACAACAACAACAACAAAAATAGATATGGGATATAAACCATTCCCAGGACATCAAATTACACAAGAATGTCCTTAAAGTAATTTTAAAACTGAAATGATTGTGTTAATAGTTAATGATGGTGCCAGTATGTGGAAATGATCAAGTGTGGTTCCATATGCTTAGTCAAAGCTTTGAAACTTAACCCAGGAGGCATTATTATAGAGTTATTCAAGAGGTACATGAGTCATAATTTACATATCAGAGATAGACTGTCGTTATGCTGCTGATATTCTGCACTGGGCCTACCCATGTGGCCTTTACCCAGTGCAAAAGTTTCATCTAGTTCATGCCTTAGGACACCTGTGAAAAGTTTCTCTGTAAGTTCTATTGGCAACTGCCTCTTCTAACTAATAGTGCTTACATACCAGAGCTATATGCAGCTGTAAGCTTTAAAAGCAGTTGTAGATGAAAGAACATCACTGACTTGTAAGTCATAATGTCTTTTCATGAAGGGTAAGGCCACAGAAAACCTCAGCTAGTCATAGATGCAACAGTGTGAAGACAACAGTTAGAAACTTCAAATACTCCCCAACATGTTGTTTCTGAAAAATAATTACACATTTTCCTAGCGGAATGGAGGAATTTGCCCTCAGATATGAGGGAAACAAACTATTTGAACTGTCACGCTTTCTGGGGTTCCGGAAATGTTTAAATTAGCCAAATAATGAAGTCTGGTAATACACTTCATTCTGAAGTGTCATTCTCTCTTCATTAATTCCTTTTACTTGCAATGAGAACTGCCCACAGTTTTAGTGTCACTCTCCCCTCTTTCTTACAGCAGTGTCTGTAGCTTTTCTGCTGCAATATTCAGTGAAGCTTAGAGCTATTCAAGATCAGTGAATATTATCTGGGATTTAAAGACTGAGGGAAATCCAGAAAGGAGTATGTGCATGGTGAGCTTGGTAACAGCATTAGCTAGATTCAGCCTGCAAAAAAGGCAGTTTGATAAAGGGAGGGAGAAGCCTGATGGGGAATTAGAGAAGTATCAAGACTTTTAAGACTATGTCTTCACTACAATCAACATACACTGTTAATCTTCGTCCCTGCCCTGTCTACTGAACCTGGTAGCTTGAGTGTTCCAGTGAATGTAGTGCTAGGTCTGACTCTGGAAGTCCATTTCACTAACAGTATGTCCATCTCGAAGGTAGAACTGTGGCAGTTTCCACATTGCTCAGAGGGACAGAGATTTTTGGGGGGTTTTTTGGTTGTTTGTTTTTGTTTTGTTCATGTGTTTGATTTTTCTTTTTTTCCTTTTTTTTTTTTTTGGCCTAATTCATTAGGAGAGAATTAGTTTATATGATTAATTTTGCTGAAATACTCAGAATTATGACTTCTACTAGACATGAGTCTAGTAGCTCATGTAAGTTGGAGGTGCCTCATAATTTAGATGTGGCTGGTAGCATGGCTGAGCTTTGCTCACTTAGAATGCTTTCATCCTGACTGACTCTACAAAGAATTGTATCTGAGAATGAAGACATTGGTGAAAGACCAATAGGATAGAAAAATAGAAGAAAAATAGAATGGGTATTGGGGAATTTAGGACTGTAACTCAGCAAAATATGTAAGCAAGAGCCTTAGTTTTAAGACTGCTTGAAGCTATCCTTATTTGCCAAAATCATAGCAAATGCTGAATTGGAAGGGACCTACCCTTCTCATTTGTAGAAAACTAATGAGAAGGAACTGGAATTTATTTCAATAGAAGACACAAAGGGGAAGTGGGGGAGTGAAGAGATCTGGAAAAAGACTGAAATGAAACACAATGCTTGAAGTTCAGAGGATTGAACAAGTGTCAATATTTAGGTCTTGGTATGTAAAATTAAGAAAGAAATCAGTGGGTTGAAGAGACTGAAGTACTTATGACAAAATCACACAAGAGGAGAGAAGGGAGATACAAACAGAACCATCTGGGAGCAGTATGGACATTTTTCTGGCATTGGTGATGTGCCAGAAGGTGCTTAGTTTCTTTTTTTCGTGTGTTAATCTGAAGCTGCTGAAGATTTTGTTTAGTTTCTCTGAAAGACTGAAGCAGGGCTTTATAAAAGGAAGAGTTTTGTACAAGAAGTTCAGGTGAAGAGCTGTGTGCTACAGGCAAGAACCTGTGGGTGTGTGCATGCTGTCTGAAATGGTATTTGGGAACTGTGGTATAAGAGGATATTGCATAATTAGTAAGGGGGGAAGAGGAAAGAGGGATAGAAGAAGTCCTGCAAAAGAATTGCAGTAGTTTGAGCAGTTGAAAGTAGGAAGTTTGCAGTGTGCATTTTTGTGGTTTTGAAGTAATTAACTCCCTCACTCCATTGCTGTGTCACCACACACCTGTTTTTTATTTGTGTGATAACTCTGTTTGTCATCATTTCCTGGACATCACTGAGGCTAATCAAACCACACTGTGGGCCACTGATCAATTAAATTAAATTAATAAATTAATAAATTAAACATTAATGGGCCATTTTGAAAGATTTAGTGAGGTGGTTAATACTCTGTTGGAGAGTTCACTTGGAAAAATAAGGAGCCTCATGCTTTTTGGTATTATTACCTGACTTTGTCAAATATTTTCTATCTATAGAATTACAGTGTTTAAAAGAAACATATTAAAATATGGGGGGTTTATGTTGAGATCAGTCACTCAAAGGAATTTTGTACTGAACTACTTGGAGCATGTGGTGGTGGGCAGTCTGTTTTATACTACTGTTCAAGGAAAGGTTTGTTTTTACCCTTAAATGCAGGAACATTTCAGTGGTATCTTGAAGTTCAGGCATCTGGCATTTTTTTTGCAAAAGTAGTGGTAAGATTTTTAGCACCGTAAGCATTGCTGTTAATGGCAGAAATTAATTTGATATCATGTGACTCTCTGTTATCACAGTACTGGATACCAGTGTATTTACTATTCACCTGAAAACACAGCCAAGGCAAAAGAAGTTCTCAGCAACATCAATCATCTGCAACCTCTTATAACAAGCCATGCAGACCTGCTGCTTAGTTCTGCAAGCCAGCGTTCTCCAGACAGCTTGAAGAATTCTTTAAAGATGCTTTCAGAAAAAGTAAGATTCAAATCTTCACTGGAATGGAAAATGGAATAACCAAGTCTCTCTAACTGCTGGGATGTAAGGGGGGTTTCTACATAAATTGACTTTCACAGCATCAGGAAATCAGCTAAAATAAGCATCAAAATGTTGTTGTTAGAAAAATAATGTTATTTTGCATTTATGTAGGCGTTCTATGTAGAAAAGTAATTAAATCTATAGAGATTTCCTTTATTTAAAAGTATAATTAATTTAGTTTAATGTATCTTCTTTATCCTCTAGTGGCCACATACTGGAGTTTATCAAAATATATAAATTTATAATTTTGTAGTATGAGGAATCATTATTTTCTGTTCTCTTTCTGTTATTTTTCAAGCTGCTGCTTATGGGAGGTAGTTCACCCCAGATTTGAGTGTAAGGTTTAGAATAACAGCATGATTAGAAATGGTGATGCAGCCTGGAAGGAGAAGCTGGGAAGTTGGCTCCAGGAGATCTCAAATTTTAATCCTCTTTCTCCTGTTATATCCATCTGTAGCTATAGGCTTTTCCTCATCCTAGTTCCTTTAGGTCTAATTAGGGAAGATGTTATTTCCCGTCTGTCTCACAGGCTGATAATGGAGATTAGCTGAAGCCTGTAGTATTTCCCAGCATATGCTATCCTATAAAGATATGAAGCACTATAGCTATGACCTGAGAGGTTGTGAAGAGTTTATCATTGTTCCATGGGCCACCCCTTCAGTAACGTGATCTCAGTATGGCTTAATAACGTGATCAATAACCATTTCAATATATCTTCAGCTATTGGGAAGTGACAGCTCTTGTGGTCTGTTGAGCACCATTATCCCAGTAGTTCCTCATTCAGTGAGTGAGTTTCAAATCTGAATATTAAGCTCGGCTACTTGTTGTGAAGGCATTGCAGAGGAGCAATGGGCAAGAGAAACATTGCTCTCAGTTGCAGGTATGTAAATCCACAGTAACTCTCAGAATGCTGGAGTCACTGTGGGTGTCAGGGATAATGGAAGAAAGCTGAATTCAGCCTGGAAATGAAATAGAGGAATTTAGGGAGGGGGGTTGTAGCAATTACAGTGTACCTTTGCATGTAGGAGGGCATTTTTAGCTTTTTGTACATAGAACAAGTGGAGCTGCTCTGTTAGTGGTTTGTTCAAAGAAATCTGTGTGCACAGGTAAAGCAAATCAGACAAACAAGTGTTTGTTCTGAAGATCCAAAATGTGGTTTCTAAGGAATATGTGTGTTTGCTCTGGCCATTTGCCTCTAGGCAGGAAGAGGGAATGATTTCAGATGGGCTGCAGGCAGCCATGGTACTATAGTACTGCTTGAACCATGGTAAGCTGGAGACTCTAGCTATAGCAAAGGGCCAAAAAAAGACAATTCATTCAGTTTGCAAAAGTCATAGATATTTTACATTTATAGCTGGTGACTTAGTTGTCTATGTTCATATCAACTTTTCAGGGCCAGGATTAAATAGCTGTTAGTACATGAGCTAGTTCCTAGAAGGAGTCTCAGGCGATGTACTCTGTGGATGTCTGTCTAGCATCTACCTTTTGCTTGGCAGAGATTAATCCAGTTGTCTGACCAACTGCAGCAGGAGTGTTTCAATACCTGCTTCCCTGTCTCTTACAAAATTTATTCTTAGGAAAAGATGGATAATGAAGAAATAGGATGGATTGCTGAGAAAGTTAAATGTGGTGGGACAGCTGCTTGTAAAGAGGGGAAGAGAGATGGGGAGGAAAGACCAAGAAACAACTTCAAGGAAGGGAAGTTCTTCAAAGCCCTAAACTCAGTGAACCCACACAATACTGAAATTAGATCCCTCATAGTTAATTCAAAGCCTTATATTGATGTCTTAAAATAATCTGTCTGTATAATCTGGTACTGTACTGGAGAACCAAGACTATCAGAATGTTCCTGCTTATATTTACGATAGAGTAGCACATGCTGTGCTGAATATAATTACATGATACCTAATTGTATTCCTGAGGTGTATATAGTGCTTCTGCTATTCCACCTTTCCTATACTTTTATATATATATATATATATATATATATATATATATAAGTTCTTACATTTTAACTTGATAGAAATTTGTAAATAAAACAGCTGTTTGAACAAATCATAAAAATTATTTGCCCGATGATTAAATTCTACAAGTTTATTAAAAACATATAATTTGATATATATAATAATTCTTTCTCTAATTATTAGGTAGCAGCGAGTAAATCTGAATTATCAATAATGTGAATTACATGAATTTAAGTGTTCATGTTGGAAATGGAAGGACTGGCTGCATGGATTGAAAGTGGAAAATTAAATCAAATAATTCCACTGCTGTTTCTTAAATGGAGCCTATTTTCTCATATTAAGTATGGTTTTACTTCTCCATATATAATTTTCAATTTACTGTAGTGTTTTCCTGAGACTAACCTTTAATCATCACTTTTTGTTAATTGATTAAGGAAGCCTTCAGCTGTCAACAAGTGTATCAGCATTTGCAGCTTGCTAAGGCTTGATAAATTAATTTTCCAGCTATGCCTATCTTTGTTTGCAGAAATACTCTTTAGTAGAGTAACTAAAAGAATTTGCAAAGTTTTCATTTCTTTGTATAGACTGGTTTTATGATTTCAATGCATTTTTATAAATAGTGATGTTCTGCAAATTTAGCTGTACTGAGCTATTAGAAAATGAGGTTGAACTGTAGACTGCTATTAAACCAGTGGGATCTCTGAATGGAATTTAATTACAGAATCATTTTAGTTTCTGCATGAAAAAATGGAGTCTCACTTCTGTACTGATTTTATTTTAAAAATTGATTTTCCCTATAAAATATTTCTATTCAATTATATTACTTAAACTTTTCAGATCATTACCTAATATACATTGCAGCCATAGTGGACATTCTTTATATCAAGTTATCAAATACTCACAATTTTCTGAAATGTAAAGTATTTTTGTTTATGCCGTTACTGATACAGATCTCAAACAGACATTGTGGGGAAGATAAGTATGAAACCTCAGCAAAACTATGATATTGCTGTTTTCAAGAATAGACAAGTAATGGAGTTTCAACTCTCTTGATATGGAACTATAGAAAAGTTTTGAGGAGGAGCTTTGCTGTTACCAAACAACTCCTCAAATCTCATTTTGCCACAATAAAGCAAAGAATGGTAGGGTTTGATAGCACTGTTCCCCAAAGACTAATTCATTCTCCAAGCTTGCACCATCTGGAGGTTGGAAATGTAGAAAACTGAATTTGTCCTGCAGAGCAATGCAGGACTACAAGGAGACAGTCCTGAGGGGCTGCATATAAGAAAACTGTTAAAAAGCACCCTTTCCCTCAGGCACCAAGTTGGTAAGGAGGAGAAGGAATGGGTCTGGTAAAATTACCAGGGAGATGAGTCCCAAGTCAGGTCTGATTTTGGTTTAAAAAATTAACAATTTATCTTATATATGCCTGAAGTTCTTATTTTTAAAACTGTAGAGATTTATTTGCAGTGTAAGTTTTCAGCCTTTCCATGTGCAACCATTCAGAAATTTTTTTTTCTTAAACATAATGAAAATGGGGAAAAACAGAAACTTCTCATTCAAGTACCTAACCCAGCAGTTGGAGCCTAAAGAAAACCATAAAATTTTTAAAGTCTTTTTGTCTTAAATATCTGTAAACTTTTGAGAGGGTGTTGAGACAGGAAGGCAAGAAAAAGAAGTTGAGTAGGAGTGGATGTATACAAAAGAGGAGCAGGTAGTATGAAAAAAGGATAGGATAAGAATAGAAGTAGACAAACTGGGAGAAAGTCTTCAGAAGTCTTCTCAGGAGTTCCAGGGAGATGCTGACACTTGAAACTTGTTTGGTTTGGGTTTCTTTTTTTTCTACCTTTTCTCCAGCTTTTGCATAAGGAGTACATAAGGGCTGAGCAAAGCTTAGCTGGGCAACCTTTTCTAGCATTTCCTGCTTGTTTAGTTGAATCCTCTGATTCTTACCTACATACCTCCCCACATCCCTGTTTAATTAAGATTGTGTGCACAAAGACACTTCAGCACCTGAATTTGCCTGCACATGGCAATCCACTGTGTTCTGGGAAAGTAGGAAGGGAGCTAAATCCCACTGACCTGGGAGAAATAAAATGCCACTGACCTGGGAGAAATAAATTCAGATAATTGTGCTGTGAAAGAAATTTTCATCATCCCCTGTGAACAAGGACTTCTATCTGGGGAGGGGAGCTCTGGGTGGGATGTGTGGGATGTGCTATGGCAGCAGGGTGTGCCCTCTCTCCCTGCTCTGACAGATGAACTCTGTTCAATGCTGTTGAAGTAACCAAAATTGGGACTCTCCCAATTTGTTGCTGTGGCTTTGTTAGTTACTCCCTGTAGTGAAAGGAAGCATCTTTGCACCTCATCCTGCTCCTGTTCTGTACATTCTGCCAGCTGATGGAGTAAATAAGCCAAGTCTCCCAGGGGAGATTGGGCCACGTGTTTGAGACACAGGAGATGGGCATGTGTGGCACGCTGATGGCAACAACAAGTGCTGTTTCTCGGTGAAAGTCTGGACATGGTGAAGCCTATATGCAGAAAGCTTTTTACTTTTCTCATTGAGGTGAAAGGGAGATGAATAATGCAGGGAGGTTGGAGGATTTTAAAAATATAGTAAAATTCCAGCCAACATAGAGATATTGAATAGCATCTTCAGAAGACCCGAGAAAACTACTTCAGAGTTTCCTTTCTGTAAAATATACATAAAATAAAGCTTGAAATCAGGTGTCACCTACCCAGATATCTGGATTGATACCTACAGGTAATGAAATTTATCTCTGGAAACACTGCTTTAGCAGATACTGCTGTTTCAGCAGTGTAGAGTGGTGGGATTTATTTAGGGAGATTATTAAACTGGTTAATTGTCACTTACTCAGAAATTTTTGGTGCTAGGGTTGGTTACTCTTGGAACTGGTTCTTGCTGAGGCTTGCCTCTGAGGCAAAATTTGGAAGTTGAGTAAAATGTGAAAAGATGATCTGTATGATAGATAATATACTCTTGTCTTAATCATTAGAACATTTGGATTGTAGAATGTGATGATATCCCTAAAACCCTTGAAATGTTCCTCATTATCTGTTGGCCTACTTTGTTTTCTGCTTCCCAGGCAGGCCCGAAACAAATACCCACTCTGCCTAAGGGTAATTCAGTGTTACACACCTTTGCTACAGTACTACTGCATTCTTTGGTCTAACCTTTTTATTAATTTGGTTTTTTTCTAGACAGAGTTATTTGTGCATGCATTCAAGGACCAGCTAGTCAGAAGTGCCCTTTTAGCACTGTACACAGCCCGGCCTGGCTGTGTCCTCAAGAAACCAGCTGTGCCTAGGAACAGTGCAGAAGAAGGCGCTGATGCACAGCACCAGGATCATCCTTCTCAGATTAAAAGGCAGGACTCTATACCCCATCATTCTGAGTATGATGAGGAAGAGTGGGTAAGTAACCATAAACCCTTGGTCAGTCTTCAATGAAAAACCCGACAAGCTCAAGCACTAAGTGTCCTTGTCACATGTCATTGACGGGGTGAAAGGGGTGCAAAACTGTAAAATCATGTTTTTCAGATGCATTGCAGATTTTGAAGCTAAATTTCAAGGATTTCCCTAAGTACAGTGTGCTGCTCTGAGACTGCCTGGGTGTGCATATTACAGTGAAGATGATGAGTATCTTCTTGCCCAGACAGAAAAATAGTCTTTCTTTGTTCTTACTTGGGTTGGTTTTGCTAGCTTGGCAGATTTAAAGACTGGAACAGCATATGCAGTTCAGAGGGAAATGTTCTTTTCTTCCCCATTCCCTGCAACACCCCTCTCCAGCCCTCAGGCTGTAACCATTTAAAATACATGTGAAGTAACCCTCAGCAAAACAGAGCCCGTTGCCCTTAGACTCTGTTCTTAGAGGGTGTCCAAGGTTGTGTAAAATAATTAAATATAATTTTTAGATTTTAACATTTTTAGCATATCTTTCAAACATATGTATTATTTATATAGCTGAGATATTAGAAATCAATTATTTTGGTAGATGTCTTCATAACAGATCTGTTTCTTTGTTACATATGTACTCAAACTATTTTTATTCAGATCAGACTCATACTTTGAGTTCATCACTGTATTCTCATAAACGTAAAGGATGCCAGCATATTAATCTCTATTGTAAATAATTAATAACTTGTTTGAGCTATTGTATTGCCTGAACTGTAATTTTCATCCACACCAAAAATAAAGGAAGAAGAATATATTTATTTTAGAAGAAAGGCAGTTATTTCCAGCTCCATGTATTAAATAGTCAAGAGATTTAAACAATAAATACCTCATTCTTTTATTTGTCCTCCGGTTTTAGAGCCTTTAGTTCACTTTTTCTTGTTTTCTCAACAACCTGAGGGACTGGAATTCTTTCCTTGTGATTCTTTCCTTGAACTAAAGCCAATTGTTTGTTTTCAGCTATTGAAACATTCAGAAATTTAAATAACACAATAGTTCTCATAAAAGAGAGAAGTTTACACTGGAAAAAGTGGCACTTTGTAGAATCTGTATTTTAACTTAGTACTGCAATTTTTCATCTCTGAAGAGAAGATAGCTCTGCTGTGTTGCATTACTGATAAAAAAAAAATCTGGCAAGTGCCAGATAATAAGTCCTCACCTATTAAATTGCATAAGTGGGTCACTTTAAGCAGTATTTATTCTTTTTTGGCTGAATCAGTAGGATTATCTTGATTCAAAATTAAGTGTATCTTTCACTGTTTTCTGAGTTAAGCTGAGTCAGAGTCACTGTCAAACTTGAGAGAGGATAAATCTTGGAGAAATTTTAATTTTTGCATAATTTGAACAATTAGACTTTGGATGGACTTCAGCTCTTTCTGTCAGCAGCATTGATAAACAATCTGAGTTTTAATAATCAAATTGTCACTAGCATGATGGAAAGAGAAAGAAAAAATGCATATAAAATGCATATAAAATTTGAAAAAAAACACTTAATCCACTGTGAAATTCAAATGTAAAGGAAAATCTTTGAGATACAGTGCTTTGTATGCACAATGCTCTATCCTCTTTTGCTGTTGTGGGGTTTTTTTCTCACTATTATCAAGCAGTAGTGCTACATTTTGCAATTGGAATTTTGTTTTTGCCTGAACTCTAAATCATTAAACAACTCTTTCAGCTGACCCTGTTCCACCCACTTTATATGACTGTGTTACCTTATGGTCATCACAGAAATATGAAGACCATTCCCACCGTTACTGGCAGCAGTATGGATTGAGCTATTTATATTGCACAGGCAGCAGAAAAGCATCATTGCCAAAGGAAAAGTATTTAACTTGAGAGTTTTACATTGTCTCTGGGTAGATATTCTCTTCTCCTCTCACCAGCTGATTCTAGAACCTCCCAGTAGGAGGGCACAAAGCAAGTTTTCATGTATAATACAAGAAAAGGTGGGCACATTGCCACTTGGATCTGACTGCTCTACACTTTTGACTGGTTAATAGGGCTGGAGCTACAAAGAGCAGATAAAATGGCATTTCCAGTAAGGTCTGTACAAATGCTGATGTGGTGATCAGACATGGGGCTGAAAGACTGATATGTGTGTGATATATTCTATTCCATGTGCCACAGCACAAGGGGGTATTAATCCTGCACATTACTTAAGAAATTTCCTTTATCTCTGAACAGAGCTCCAAAGGACCTTAAGGAAATATCTGAGTATCCACTCACAAGGAGACACAGCATATTCAGGGTGCTGGGAAGTGCAGATGCTGTGTCATATCTGGTACAAGTAAAGCACACAACTGCAGTGGTGTATATGGTGGGACAAGAAATGACTGAGGAGCTCTGGTGAATTCAGAAAGACTGAGAAGCCTTTAAAAACAGAGACACCCTCTGGGACTGTACTGGCTGTCAGTGTTTAGAAGGAATACATCCAGTTAGGTGCAGTTTAGGTATAAAAAAAGTATCCATTCCTGCTGTCTGAAATGAGGAAGCTGTCCTAATTTTTAACGATACTTTCAGATTAGATGGAAATTAATTACATTTTTTTCAGTTAGGTGAGTGGAAGAGAATTATTTTACAAGTTCATGTTTAATTGTCCTAGGAGAAGTGCCCAGCTTTCACTGATGCCAAGCCCTAGCTTCCCATGGAGATCTTTCAGTGTGCATGTCTGCTTGCCAGTGCCACAGTAGAGGTGACAGTAGAAGTGTGACTATGGTCATTTCTAACTAGCAACACCTAGCTATGTGAGCCAGGACTCCATAACATTCCAGATGGCTTCTAAAGTTTGGAAGAAGAAGAAGATATATATGTGGCACTGCTTTGTCTCAAGGGGTTCAAGCCCTATTACAGATTTTTGCCTTCCCTGACATCGCCTTGACTTTTGTACTTAAAGAAGCAGCAGTGAGAGGGAGACAGAGATCTTGTTTCTCTCACTCTTCCATACCACAAACTTATCATCCACATTGCTTTAGCAACTAGTGGGAAACCTGTGACCAGGAGGAAAGTATCCTGTTTAGGAAACTAGGGTCTTAGTATTTCAATGTATCAAGAAATATTTCTCCTGATCCTTCACTTTACACAGAAGGTTTATAAGAATGCTTACGTAAGAGGCTGCATAGACTGTATTTTGTCCTTTAATCTGGCACATGCTGTAAAGTGATCACTTGTGAGATTGTTCTTGGACAAATATTGAAAATAGGCTGCTTAAGGAGATGAAAGGTCAATGGAAAGTGTGCTAGGCCACAGGAAAATGTTCTAGAAATAGTAAAGGATGACAATATGAAACAGATTATTTTTTTCTCATGGAGAATCATAGAAAGCCTCTTGATTTTTACTGATTGGAAATTGCAGTTTTACTTGAAAGTTTTTACTGCCAAACTGCAGAATTTCAACAGCCTTCTTAGAAAAATGTGACTGCCTTTGGTGCAGACAGAATAACATCTCAATGAATAAGATACCTCTACATTTTCTATCTGCCTACAATCCCAGGAACTTTCTATGTGGAGAAAAAGAGCTGTGAGACAGGCCCTTGCTCCCTCTCACTTACTTGTATGTAAAAAAGCCAGATACATGATAATAAGAGTGAGCTTTCTGTCAACAGATGTTGACTTCTAAACCCTCAGGGACTGTGAATTTTGCATAGACATCATCTCAATTGCTGGGTTAATAGTTGGTTTGAAAAGAGAAAAATGCTCTTTCCTAAGTGAAACAGGGGCTCATATTTGTGTTGCTTGTGCAATAACTCCAGATGCTCATTAAGAGCTTAGTGCTTTTTGTGTGGGAATTAAACTCCCCAAGCAGACAGAGGAAAGGGAAATTACATTGCTGCAGCCTCACTGAGGAACTTGAGTTGCATATTCCTCAGCAACTTCAGTGACTAGAAGCTCTGCAGCTCCCTGATACTCTCTGGCTAGAATTTTTAATATTTGTAGTATTTCACTGCTCCTCATAGAATCCTTCTCCCCAAAATTATACTTGGGCTTGGTAAAAATCAGATGTTTCATGCATATTCTAAATGTTTTTTCAGGATTGCTTGAGATGCATACAGGAGGAAACTTTTGAAGTAATCTGTACCTGCCCTCTGTCTTTTGACTTTTAATTGCATCTAAACATGTGAATAGCAAATACTCCTATGTCTAATGGTTTGTTTCATGTACAGGTGCAGATATTACCACATGTTGCATTGTACATGCAGCACTTAAAATAGCTGTGGAATAAATGCAGTTCTGCTTGGGTGTGACCAACTTCTTGCCTCTTGTAAATCAACAATATCATTTTCATGGTATGGTTAAAGCATGGGTTTATCTAAGGAGAAAATTAAATCATTGTTTCCATGTTCACCTATAAACTGGATGCTCAATTGTCCCTAAGGCAGCCCACAAGAATGCTCCAGGAATCAGGTTTGGGGAGCTGGAGGAGAGGAACTCTGTTTTACAGGTCAGGCAAGTCCATGCTTCTGTCTGCAGGCCCACGTGATGTCTCTTGGTGATGTCAGGATGCCACTTGTCATAGGTTGTGTCCTCATGAGGAGGGAACACGGAAAGATCAGATTCCTCTAGTCAGGATAAGGGCTTAAGTGTGACATATAGGTGAAAAGTAACATTAGATTTAAATGTTTGCCTTAGTAGTAGTTCTAGATTTGCCTTTGCTCAAAATCCAAGTGTTGCCATTTATCTGGAACTATGGCATTTCTCTTGAGTTTTCAGTTTTCTTTAACCTTCTCTCTTGTTATTTTTGAAACTTCATTTTTGTGCCTGAAGACCTGATATATACATAATGCTTCTTATTATCTTACCTTATTATGATATTATCTTCCCATTTTTAACCCTCCAGCAAACTCAGATTGCTCTGCATTATTTTCAGAATGATTCAGCGTTGAAACGTACATGGTGGGGGTGGGTGGGCGTGGTTTCTGTGGTTTTGTTAAGACTTGGTTTTAGTCTGAGTGTGTGTCTTGTGTGCAGCCTCATTTCTTGTATGGCTTGGTTTTTTCCTTTTTATTCAGTGCTGCAAAAGTAGGTGCAAAAGCTTTGACTTCTGCAGCATGCAGCACCTGAAAGATCTTCCCTATATCTCTGTTCCATAACATCTCTTTTTTATGCTCCACATTATTTCTTTTGTTCTCTGCTTATACAGAATTTCTTCTACCACTCTATTACTTCTGTAATTCTCTTATTTATTATAAACTCAGTTAAGTGTGATAGTTGCAACTTATATGAGATGTGAGAAGTGAAACTGAAATTGTGTTACCTAACAAACATGCCATGACAGCAAGTTTCTCATTCTAGACCTTGAATTTAATATTTGCTTCAGCAGAGAAACTGATGTGATAAAACACAGGATATATTAAATTATCAAAAAGAGGTTATTAAGTGCTATGACAAAACTGGCAGTCCCACACAAGGTTTGATTTGGCAAGGCTTTAAGTGTGTCTACACTCTTAAGGTATCATTTAAATAGACAAACTGCTCAGTTCCTTGCTGTTAGACCTGAAACTTTGTCTGCATTTTCATGTCAAGTTTGAAGCACATGTTCTCCAGTGTCTAAAACCATAAGAGTTTGGGTTCATTTACACTGCAAGAAAAATCTCCATGAAAAAGGCTCAGGTTGGTAATAGTCTGAAGGATGAGAGAAACAGTCATATTCTGACATCTAATATTTCTAGTAATTTGCATATGTCAGTCTCGATTTTAAGGGGTTAATAAGTTACTATTCTCGCTCTCTTTTTTTGTCCTCTTCAATAACACACAGTGATAATTCTGCTCTTTTCAGGACAGGGTTTGGGCCAATGTCGCAAAGAGTTTGAACTGCCTTATTGCCATGGTGGACAGACTGCTTGAAAAAGACATTAGCAACATTAAAGAGGATGAAAATGAGCCTTCAGCAGCAGATTGCAAGGTGTTGCATACAGGTGGTAAGCAGCCCCCCCCAATTTTGTTTTTTTAATCATTGACAAGAGTAAATAAAAATTTAAACAGCTACAGAAAAGCCATCCAGAGAAGACTCCATAGTATCTTTGATGAGAGTGCTAATAGCAAGGTTTTGCACCCTTGTAGAGAGATTATTTATCAAAGTACAGCTTAATTGTGTGCTCAGACTGCTTGCCATGCTGAGTTGTTTGTACTAGAGTGTAAACCTTTTGAAACCACAATGTTTTCTTTTTGAAGGATGATGTAATTTAATTTACTTTAGATTATACTTGCACATAGTATTTTGAGGAAAAAAAAATTGGACTGTGTCTTACTCCATAAAACACTTGTAAGGAAAGGTGAACGTTCTGTATCAGTGTCATTCTCCTGCAAAGCCTTCCATTTTTCTGAGGTAGTGTACTGATTTTTAATTTCTGATCTGACAAAATTCATGTTTACCTGGATATACCTGTCAGCCTGTGTCAAAAGGCCAAGTGGAGTAATTCCATTGGATGATGTAAAGAAAATTTTGTCCATGGTGGGTCCTTGTCACCAAATCTTCTGATCGTCTCCTATGGCTTATTCATGTTTGCATTCTTGATGCTTAGATTAGATCTGCTTAATAATTCTTACAAGACTTTCTAGACTGAAAGTGTGTTGCAAGAAATGAAACAGATCCTTAGTGGTAGTCGTAATGCAAGGAAATCAGAGCCAACCTTTTTGCCACTCTTCAACTAAATAAAACAACTCCTCACAAAAAACAACAAACCAACACAACTACTGTATTTTATGGAGCTTTGTATAGTTTGCACTTCTCTTTTTTTTCATTGTGCAATTTATCCTGTATCTTCATGTTCTCCACAGAATTTCATGACATCATTTTATATTAAGAGTTTTAAAGTTATAAGTACTCACTTGTAATTTCTTTCTTACATAATAAGAATTAAAATTGCTTTTTTAGCTGTATGTCATTTGTGTAGTACTGGTGGTTCTGTTAGATTCTGGTTGTACTATTGGTTTTTAATGCAGCTGTAACATCTGCATTTTTACCAGTAGAGAGGTTTGTACTGGAGTCCTGGAATCCTTGTTTTCAGTGCCAGATTGTCACCCTGAGAATTAAACCTTCTGATCCTGTTTCCATAGTTTCTAGCCACTTTCCCAGGAAAGTAACTATAAACATAGGTGTTTATACATTCCATTAAAGAAATGTCTTTTGATGGATGTTTCTCATGACCAATGTGATTGGGAAGTTGGTAACCTGACTATCCAATCCCTGGTGATGGTCGAAAATCTATAAATACTAGAGTAATGGAATAAATCGCTCTCTTTTCCCTATCATACATTGAGCTGTGCCTGTGTGAATCATTTCATGTCCTACAGCGACACCAGATCTCTGTGTTGGACTTGATTTTGTATGAATAGTCCAGAGAGCAGCTTATTCCTTATCTGTTTGATTCTCTGTCTACCAGGCATGTAATGTTAGAGAGGTAGATGATACCATCTCTGTTCTCTAGTGAAGGCTTGCATGTGAAAAATATCAACACTGTTTTCTACACCTTTTGTGCTCTCTCAGAGAAGGTACAAATATTTAACAGCCACGTAGGTGTCATTTTGAATTTGGAAGAATCTTCAGATGGTGAGCCCAAGCATATTCATTGTGATTAAAAGAGAAAATTGAATATTGTTCTTGTTCCTAACTCCCTTCTCTTCCCTGTGGTGCTAACAAGCTTTCCTGCTATTGTTAGAAGTCCAGCATGTCTTGTAGAAATGTTTTGCAAGTGAAGTGGTAGTAGTAGTATACTTTCACCCTAACTTTCCTCCAGGTGACTGCAGTACATTTGTGTGTGTATGCATAGACATAAATGTCATGAGTTTTGTCTGTATTTCATAGTTATGGAACAAAAGTTAAGATTTCTATCCCTCCTTCCTATATCTGAAAGAAAACATGTGATTTAGGATAATTATTTTGGAATGATTTCTGGCATGTCCAATTCATGCCAAAATGAATTTTTACGTAATTTCCTTCACTCTCTTCAACCCCCAAACATAACCTCTGCTATATTCCATGATGTGAATTTATCAGTCCATTTGAGTCTTTACATCCAGCGTGCTCACAGCTTTGATTCAGGCTCACACCCTGGGCAGGCACAAATGCAGGCAAATGGAATATTGGTTAGAGCTTTAGGCCACAAGCCAAAAAAAATAAATAAAAAGAAAAGTTACATAATTTTAAGTTCTGTAATAAGCAGCCATCAAGTAGAATGAAAGGTAGCTCTTGCTAAGCAATAATAATGTAATGGTTACAAAATTATAGATGAGTTTCATCCAGCTGATAAGTTATCTTCTGGGGCTGGTGGGCCAAGGCCATAGGACAGCTGCTATGGTGCTGGAATAAATTTTCCCTTTTTCCTTCATTTCTGAGCCATCCCTATTTCTCTTGAATCAGTACAGGTGTCCTTCAATGAGAGCAGTCAGTGCTTTTGTTGAGTTGTCCTGAAAGTTCTATAACACACCCTCACATGAGAACTGCAGAGATTGTGGGGCAGACTGCTGACTTTTTCAGTAAGACATAATTTTTGGAATGCCTTGTTCAGTTTCTAGGACTTTCAAGGTCATATAGAAATGGAGATGTTTTAAAATTGCTTTTTTTATAACGCTAACTTTAAAGATGGAGCTTTCTGAAGAGCTATCCAGGTGTGTGCCAAAGTTGGTTTCCTAAAGATTTTCAAAGCTTTGGGGCCAGGATTTTGCATGCTTGACTTCTCTATGAGAGTGTGAGTTTAGATGTTTGTTTTTCTCTGCATCTCCCTCTCTGAAATGTAACATGAAACCCTAAGGGTGCACTGTGAAACATCTACACAGAGGCTGAGATTCCAAGTTTCAGTTATAAATTTGGCCTTAATTCTGCTTCATTTTACACTTGAAGCCTGATTGTGAGTTCACAGCATTTTCCTAGAAACAAAATCACACTGTGTGTACACCTATAGACACATTTCTAAAATTAGACTTTTGTGCTACTTACAGTTCACAAACATGACATAAATGAGAAGCTTTCCACATCTTGCTATTATATATTTTACATAATCTGAGCATATTTGAGCATAATGTATTTCATTGATGGTGTGAATGTATGGGGACAGATTGATCTTCGAGTCCAAAACTGCTTTAGTGCTGCAGTTAATCCTCAGAGAAATTGGGCTGCTTTTGTAAGAAAAAGGAAAACAGAGTTTTGAACAAAATATTGATAAATATGCCTTAAAGCATGGGATGAAATTTTTGCTTATTTAGTGAACCTGACTGGGTTATTTTGGTAGCATATAGCAATGAAAAACCTTTCAAAGAATGCACACATATTCCTTTTGGATGATAGAAAATACTATGACAATAATTTGATGCAATAGCATCTTCATATAAATATAGCTATTGTTTTAATATATATTCAGAGTTTTCTTAAGTAAGTTTATATTTGCAGTCTCAGTGGTGATATTGTGTGATCTTATTATTTTTTTTCCAAACATGTTTATATTTATTGTTTAGAATCTTTGTAATTGGAAATATTGGAGCACTTTTTTTTCCTGTACTCTGTCTTTCAATGTGAATTACACTTTCCTTAGCCTTGACTTTTCATGTAGTCTGACCTTTGAGTGTATTCTAAAGACTGAATTTGAGTTACAGTTACCAAGGTAACATGCTATGGTTTCATCAGTTCCAGGATTATGAATCCTCTACATGATAAATCAGGAGGAGTAGAAGGATTTTTAAGGAGAGCATGTCTTTTTGTTGTTCTTTTAACTCTAGTCTGGTTTGCCTTGGAGAAATATGTAACAACATTAAATTCTTTTTATTTTCGCCTTTTCATTTTCCATGAGAATTGGAATGTGAAAACCTGTCCTGCAGCATTAGACATGCCAGTGAAACACAGCAGTTTGCTCTTGTGCTTACACAGCCCCTGACAGATCTCTGTGTTAGGCTGCTGAAAGCGGCTGTTGTTCCATCTGGTTCTTGTTCCATCCCATCAGAGCTCCCACCCAGCTATTCCTCTGCTGGCTCCAGGTGAGAACTCCCTAATTTGATACATACAGGATCCACCACATTATCTCAAACAATTTGATTTGCCTGTGTGATTGCACCTGGATTTTGCCTTTAAATGAATTATGGAATCATAAGCTCTGTGAACTGGCCAGTGGTAACCTTCGGCATAGGTAGCAGACAGAACCTGGGGAACATTGCCACAGTTCCTAGCTGAAATTAGAGGAAACCTTATATATATATATATAGCATATATATATATATAAATATAATATACAGCATATATGTATGTGTATATATATATATATCTCATTTATAACCTATATATGCTGCACACATATGGGGGTTAATTTTTCTTTTATTATCTGATACCTGTTGGGGACTATATAAAAGTCTAGATTCAAAATTTTTGACTTTCAGTGCCCTGAGGATGGGCAATGCATCCTTTCAGTGCATCCCTTCCAATGCAATGCTCATAGAAATGGGAAATAAAGCCATGTTCTAGTTTTATTTGCATCTTCAGAAAAGCTTTTATTATAAAATACTGCTTAGTCAGAAAGATGAAAAATTTTCCTGTGGTCTGTGTCTTCTTAAGTAGCAGACATAATTTATTTAGAGCAATCATATGTGAAAAGATTTTTCTTCCCTTCCTCTTCCTCACATTTTTCTTTCCTTTTCTCTTAAGTTTGTCTTTGCATCAATTTTACTTATGCCTTTTTTTTCCCCTTTTCCCTCTCACTTCTGTGTCATCCTTTTCCTTTTTGGTAGGAATCTTACCTGGGCTGAATGTAGCCCAGCAATACAAGACAACCTCTTCAGCAGTACTTTCTCTAAATACTTTGGCTGTAAACAAAAGCTGAAAAATGTGTAAGGAAAAGAAAGACTATTTAACTGAATCAACAAATTAAAACAAGAAATCAGAATATTTAGCTTCACAGCATTCGCAGAGAAAGATTCATCCATTACTCCTATGTTT